TGCCATTATGCATCCACATCTCGAATTACATCAATGTAAATATCAAAACGAATTCAGTCTAGGCTGTAACATAATTTGCGGACGGTTCGCAAAACTAAGGCGGAAGATCTTGTACTGAGGAGAACCGACAAGAAACTCAGCAAGAGCTGCTTTTTTCTTCCTGTTTTATTTCACACAGAGAAGTTTCATTGGAACATGACTTATTAAGGAAGTATTTTAAGAAAAAAAGAAAGCACTAAAAATATCTCACTAGATGGCAACTCTAGCAAAAGTTGATTTTAATAATTTCACAGCATTAATTCTATTGATTTCCATAACTTTTGAAAAACCTTTTCTATGCTCACTTCCATTATGTTAGTTTCCATTTTTCTTTATACAAAAGAAATTTGTTTAAAGATTATTTTGTGTTAATGGACTTGCGTTTGCGTAAGTTGAACTAATTGAATTTCAACTCGATATTATCAGAACCATTACAACACTGACAATTCTATTCTCTTTGGTTTAGCGTCAAGAATTGACATTTTAAACCTACAATTTGTGCTGCCATCTAGTGACAAATTTTTGTTATTTCTTTATTCTTTTAATTACTTCCTCATTACCGATATTTTTCATTAAATATTTTTCAAAAAAAGGCCCTGTTGCACTCTTTATCACATGTGAAATAGTTGTAACGTGAATATAATTCAAATGTCAAATTGGGATAAATTTTAGAAGGGATTGGGATAAATTTTAAATTTAGACAATTAGGCCTCTGATCAAATCATTATGCTGGACGATATCTACGAGCAACCTTGTCGTTTATGGGCTGATTCAGGGTCTGTTGATGGAATTGGAAGGTGGACATAGGAACTTTGTAATTAAGAAATGCAACCCTGTCAAGTTTGAGCTCTGGTTCGAGAAATTAGAAACTTATTTTTAGGAAGAATTATATTCGATTTTGTTTTAATAACAGAAATACAGTAGCCATCAGTATGACATCGCGTAAAATCAATGAACGCACGTGAACATCAATTGTAATGACCAGCGTTCACTAGGTCAATGGATAGAGCTGAGGTCATAATGTCAAAACAATTTGCTCGGTACGGCATGCGCATGACTATTTAATGGTATTTGTTCAGCTAAAAGGACTTAACCGTTAAGTATATACGTGATTAATCAGTGATGTTGACCAGTAAAATATTGTTATATTTGTTCAATTTTGCATTTTCTGTATGTTGCAATTGATGTTTAACATAAAATGTTTAAAAGATAATTATGAATATAACGTTGTGAATTCAAATTATAAGAATACATTTCTATCTTATACGAAAGGTGAAAATATTAGTAAAAAATATTTTCTTCAACTATTTAGGTGATTTGAAGATTGATAAAAATAAGCGTAAAATTTTAGTATTAGTTCAAATTTATATTATACAGAGAATAAGCAAACTTAACCTTTTAGGAGTAAATATTATTCCCGTAGAACCTCGTACTAGGTTAATCTTTGCTAAGTCCCTATTTAATAATATGAGTTTTGACTAAATATTAAGTGCAGTCTCAGCGTAAATTTACTCCAACGCTAAACCTTGTTTATTAATAACACTATAAGCGAAAGTAAGAAGTGATTGAGAAATTTGTCAGTGTGCTGATATCTAACACAGGTTAATTTTGCTAATGTTTACGTCATCATCGCATCTCAAGTGAATTTCAACTACATACTTGTATCTTGACATTGTACTATCTACATGAAGTTATAATTTACGTGAGTGAAGTCGCGGAAAAAGAGCTAATAAATAATATATGGAAAATCGTTATACTATTTTTATTTCTGAAAGTAATAAACATGTTATAAATTACTAATAAAAGTGCCATAAAATTAGCCCTAACATTACCACTGCCATTTCTCTCTGCGTCTGTACGGAGTGTCATGGCGGCGCGCGGCGAGATCAAAGCTGGCGGCTTGTTTGAAGTGTCGTGTTTCCACCACAACTGGCGCAAACGATGCGTAGCGAATGACTGTGACTTGTACCTCTCAAGTTTTCAACCGCCTGAGTAAGTTAGTGTTAAAATGTTTTAGATAATTAAAATTCATTTCATTTCATGAAAATTTAAATGAGCTGTCAACAATTAGCAACAGAAATAGGGTTTACAAATAATTTTTGTAGTTATAAAATAATTTACACCTGTGAGGTGATGTATACTTAAATGTTGTTCTATACTTTAATAAAAATGCATTCGTTATTATTACTAACGATTTATTAATAAGTTATAAAATAATAATGAATATTAGATAATAATGCCATTTCTTTTGAACGACTCTTCAAAATAAACTTAAAAAAGCTTATTTTCTTTTAATTTTGTTTTCATGGTATTCTGTAACCGAGAATCAAATAAATATAATTATCATATTAACATTATAAATCCTATTTCATAGGTAATTGATTTTCTATAACCGACCAGGAATCGTACCCGGGTCTACAGAAATGGCGACACCTTGAAACCCGCTAGCTATAAGAACTTATTCATAGCTCGCGTGTGAGCCACTCAGCCACGGAAGGTATATTTATTTAATAAACTATTTTGGTTCCTATCCAATGATAACATTTAATTGAGTATTATTAGGATATATTATAAATTTAAAACGGAAGTCTTATCAGTTTCACCAGTCTTCAAAATTTAAGAAGTGTGAGTAGTAATTTACCCGATATCTGTAAATCGAATGTCGAGCCAAGCTAGGAGATCGAACACATGTTGTGTATTTGTAAATAAATAATATCTGGTGGCCCTGGGATCTTGGTCAATAATTATAGTATAACATTGATCTGAAAACAAGTTCAGTAACTAAAATCCTTGTTGTTATATTGACTATACTTACCAATTTTGTATCCACAATACTATATAGATGTTTATCTTAAAGAAAAATATTTAAAATGATTCACCAGCCTCAGGATACTACATTTTGAGTGTTAGGATATTTGGTGGATATATGACAACCTGGAAGCACTGCTTTCAAATCCATATTACGTAATCATTTTTCATCATATGTTTTTCGCTATTAAAGAACATACCAAAGTAGTAAAATTAAACGAAATATCGCTATGGCTAAAGTTATAGCTAGAGGAGTTGGTCGCTCTGCTGGTGACCGAGATAGGATCTTTTTTTACTAAGCAGTTTTCTCTGAAATAAAGGTTTTCTTTTAATCCAGCCGAAATTTAATCCGGATCTCTGAAATAATATTGCGTGATAAATAGTAAAAAAAATAAAACGAAAGAATCAATTTATTAAGTCGATAATTCTACGGATACTAGTGTTGTTATTTATGTTAATTGAGAAATAACGATGTTTAAAATAATAAAACAGTCGATGCCAGCGACTTGAAACTTAAAGTTAGAACAAATATTGAACTAAACTGCCTTTTTCAATCATAAAAACTTTTGTAAGTTACCATTTATTCTAAAGTAGTACAATTGAAGAATAATGAACCAAGTTGATTGCATTTTATGTAGATAATGTGCCATTTAAAGCGTATTATGAATAGAACGTTCCGCTTTGCAAGTAATAATAATTTAATCGAATAGTTTATTGATGTAAGAAATATGATAATGTTTGTAAATTAAATACGATGTGAATACCATTGTTAAGCTGCATAAATGTATACCATTTTAATATTTTGTTGATCGTTAATGCTTTATCTTTAAGAGGTTTCCAAATTTACTATTATTGATTTGTAATATATATATATTTTTTTAATTTACAATTGAATTTACAATTTGGCAATATGAGGGTTATTTTCTTACACGAGTAAAATGTGGTCATAGTGTCGCCATTTTTAAAGTCCCGAGTTCGATTCATGAACGGCGGATTTTTCACGTCATTGATATAGACTTGTTATTAGCTGAAGGTCAACGGAATGCAATTTCATGCATACTATGTTACGCGTTATCAACTGAACATAAAAAATATTAAATTTTAATGAAATAACCGTTGTATGAATTTCAATTTTTGAGTAGTAGACCTGGGCTTCAATTCTATTAATTTTATCATAATAGTCGCATCTCAATTACTATCTATCTGAGGTTCAATAATAATACTTACTTAAATAATAATTAGCGGAAAATTTATTTTTAAATCAATAAATAAATACTTCAGTATATCTAGAGTCCAGTAGGTCAGTACAGCTTTTCACTCCAAATCTAATTACCATTGGTGGTAAGGAGATTCTGAAGGAGATGGAAGCAGAACTAACTAATAAGGAGCCTGCAGACCAACTTATTAACTCAGAAACATCCAGAGAAGACCTAGAAGCTGTGACTTCTGATGTATATCATTCTGATAATGATGATGACCCGATAAATATGTATATTAGATATCTATATATAAAATTTAAGAACAATAATCACATTAAGACTACTTAACATTGATAACATTTAATGAAGTTGTACTTTTTAGTTTATAATAAATACTTTTTAGTTTATATATTTCATTCAAATAAATATTTCATTATTCAAATAAATATTTCATTTCAGCTATGAAATTCGTTTGACGAAAAAATTTAGTTACTGTCACAATTTAATAAACAACTGTAATAAATTACAACCACAATGATTTATAATTGAAATTTAGTTAATTCTTTATTCATATTTAAAATTTAGATCATCGAGAAGCCGAAATTTTATTATTATAATATATTAATTTATGTTTCATAAATGCTGCGGGCATTTCGTATCAGTACTAGTATAAGAAGCTTGCGTTAATCATAATATTTCAACGGTAATTGCTGCTGCTGTGATGAATAGTGACAGACCGACAGTTAAATTGCATATAATTTAGTGTGGAATATCAACTTACCTACTGTAATTATGCGCAGACACATACTCATTGTATATCTACTTAGAGATTGCTCATTACGTGTTTTGAAAAAGACCACGACTGGTTGACTTTGTTTTAAATATTGAACAAAGGTAATGGAAGATGAAAATCAAATATTTAGAAGAAAGAAGGATTTAAATCAAATACATAGATCAAATTAAATATTTACGTATATTTTCTTCGCTTTATGCTCTTTATAACAACAAATCTTTGTTTCAACAGATATCGATTGGAGATAATACAGTAGCTTTATTATGCGATACACAATACGATTCGACACATGTATCTCCTGTAATTCATTTATTATTATGCATAAAATATGTGCAGATACTATTTTAAAACTTTCACATGAAACAAAGTGAAAGTTCTTATATAATTTTAATATATAAACTTCTGAATGTGCTTGAGATTCATCTAAGATCAATGAAAAGTTGCAACATCTAAATTAGAACAATGATTTTCTATCCTGCGGTAACACTTAAGTTTCAGACATTTGTTGGGAGATACTTAGTCAAATAACACTACTTAAAGATATGTGAACGACGAATGTCACACTTTTATATTCAAAAATATTTTGATTATTAAAAAATACAAACACAATTTAACAATCCTCACTTATAATTTCCAACAACTTAAATTAGAAATTATATTTTAATTACAATCTATAGATTTGGTACATAAAAATTTTGTTAATCTAACTAGAAAATAAAAATCCGCACTTTGCGGACCGTCCAAGCTTAGAGAGAACTCTCACAGTATCAGTGCATTTAACATTATATTGAGTTAGAGATCACAGCTGTCGTCACCCCGAGGGGGTCATTCATTCGTACGTCGTTGATATGATCCGACTAGAAACCCGAAGATCACTACAATTATATTTACACTTTCTCCGGTTCTAATAGTCCTTTTGGCATGGGCGTTAGCGGTCGGCGCCCCCCTTCTTCTGTGCGTGGAGCGCCGACGGTCCTCAAGGGTGGAGAGGCCGAGGTCCAAATAGGGGATATGATGGAAAATACGCTGCTAGAGAGGGATGTGGAGGCAGCGGAAACGGTAGTGGTGGCGACGAAACTAGGTGTGATGGCTTGCTGTATGGGTGGAATCTTGGTGTCAAGGGAGACAAAGGCGGTGTTGGATATGTTCTTTGCAATAGTGGATGCGTTGCACTCAACATAGAAAGACTTGGACTCGACTCACCACTAGCAGTATGTGATCGCAAATGTTGAAGTAATTCCTCTGAAGAACCAAATCTTTTGCCACAGTATGCGGAATCACCAGCCATCCAACTGCAGACGAAAGGTAATTGTGATGCCGCAGCAAGAGCTGCTAATTGAGCGTGAGCATACGCGGCTGCAGCTGGGTGGTTCGTTGGCAGTGGGAAAGGAGTCTTAGCATGATCGCATTGCGCACACCCAGCAGGGCATATAGCTGACTTAAGCAAATGTGAGCTCAGAGAGCAGCCCGTACAATACGGATCTCTGCATATTCCTATATCACTGGGCGCTTTCATTCTTGCATACGCTAAATACGGGTTTAGCCCATTTTTCAATGCATGGTGCTGAGCAGCCATCAAACTGCTAGTCATTAAATCCATCGGCAATGGAAAGCCAGTGGGTGGTAAACCACCTAAGAAAGCAGAAGACGTAACTGGTGCACTGGGTTTGAAACTAGATTCTTTGGTTTCTGCATTGGACGTTAGAGAGGTGGGTGTAAATGGTAACTTTGATGAAGATGAATTGCTTGCTGAGTCTGAATTTGATTTTGCTGGTGCTGGGGAGCCATGGAGTGGGCTAGATCTTTCGTCTGACTTTTCTGATGGTGTTTTACGATGAGCAGGTGGTGGAGTTCTTTGAGATGATGAACTCTGGTTGCTCCCGCAGCGCGCTTGCACTGGCGTTGTTGAGGCACTTCCTTTCGAAGACAGAGGAGTCTTCGAGTGGGCGTTGACCGAGGCTCTGTCCTCGGGCGTCCTAGTCTTTTCTCTCGCAGTTAGGCACGATTCGTAAGGCTTGAAGCTGGGTTTGTTATCTGGTACGTGGATGACCGGCGATTTGTCTTCGTATTTCTTGCTAGCTTTTTCAGCGGCGGAGATTAATTTGGGATTTGGTGTATCGGCGCCGATAGCGCTGCAGGTCTGCGCTAGCAGTGCAAGTGGGCTCTTTTTCGCGTCGAGCTGTAACAAAGAAAAGAGGTCTATGAAATGAAACGTCGAGTTGGGGCTGCGAGTGACAGGCATACAAAGGCACCGCGGGGTGCGGGGCGCGGGCGTCCAATCACGCGGCCGACGCGCCATTATCCGCGCGTCTGGCAGCCGTCGGCTCCGCTTGACATTTCACTCGGCTCCCGCATGATGTAATCTCGCAGTGAAAAGGGCAATTTGTGCCGCTGAATTTGCGGCATGCCTGAACTTGTGGCGCGTTGTCACGTCACGTCTATTACAGCGGAGCTAGCTTACTATTCGAACGAGTAATGTGGGGAAAATTCACAGGGCTGCAGTTGGTATTTTGCGAGCAATCTAATTGTTATTCAAATATATATAACCCAATTGGAATCATATTGGAATAGCGACATGATGCCATATAAAATGGTAAATAAGAATATGCTTTTTACAATGATGTAAGTTAAAGTTACGCTGTCATTGCAAGTGGCATATAAAGTATGTGAGTCATACATGAAAACACTTGTCACATTAAATATAATATGTTTGGTGTTGAATATTTTTTTAAATATTTATTATTATAATATTAACAACATAATGCTTATTATTTTGAATAAAATATAAACGTTTGTTTGTTTCTATATAATTGATCGATGTCCAAGTTACTTGAAGAAGAGAGAGACCGAAAATGTTAAGTTCGGTTCTCTATTAACTAGGCACATTTTATTTTATATATGGTATATGTATATATGCAACACATGGTCTTTGTTCTTAAAGTCAACTTTTATTAAAATTATGTTTTTTTAGAAATCCGGAATAATTTTATCTTCCTACAACTCAAAAAATGGTAAATTAAAAAGTCGATATATTTTTGGTAAAGCTAGTAGCACTTATGTATTTGTAAAATGGTTAAAGTCTAAAGAATCATTTTTTAATAATCACTAATACAATTAAAATTTTAACTTTTTACCAGATAAGATTCTGAAACTCTTTCCTACTAAACTACAATATTGTACGAGTGTTAATGACGCATAACAAAAATTCTATAATATAAAATGTGTTTTATAAATAAATCAACATTAATATTTTAATTACATATCTGTCAAATAAATGTGCGATAAACAAAAGACTTAGTTATGATTAATGGATATAACAATAATACTATTTATCAATCACTAAATTTCTCATAATTATACATTAAATATTGACGAGGTGACTAAACAAGCGCCCACCTTACGTTTATTTGTACGTTTTATGTTCAAACAATATGAAAAGATTTATGAGCCTCGTTTTTCTGAGTAATGGGTTCTCATTGTGTTTGATTAATAGCATTTTATCAGGTTGGGCCGTTGTTGATGAGGAAATATGAGGTTTAGACATTTCACGAAGTGGCCAGACAATAGACCATGTGTCTGACAACAAAAGAATGAAATCGTTCATCTTTATGACTTATTCTTTTTCCTGAATCATGTGATTAAATAAATTGAATGATGCAATTTGTTTGTTTTATAATATTTATTGTTGTGTTGTTATTCAAGCTAAAGAAATAGGATGACTTTTTGGTTTATGATATAGGTATATCTTGATAATCTCTATTTGCAGTTAAAAATATAAGCTGACTTCAAAACGGAAAAGGAAGAGGTTATTTTATATTTTTAACGGCGATGTATCTTCTTATATGTTTGCCGATTTTTCCCAGATTGTTGACATATTCTCAAAAAATTTTTTTTTCTACTGTAATTATTTTTATATCTCTAGTAATTCTTCTTTATGTTAATTAATTACAATAATTATCAAATCATAAGCGTTTAGTTATGAGTTTGGATTGAATATTGTAAGTGTCAATGTAAAATTAGATAAAGATTAATTTGATCGATTAAGCAAAAGTATATTAGGGTCAAAGTAATTTATAGCTGTCGTTATTTTTTATTGGGAAAATAAGCAGTTGTTGACTTCGTTAAATGGTAATTATACAAAATTGTGGTCGTAACGTAGGTATTTTAAAGTCGAATCAAGTTATAACATATAATTTAGGGTACATAAATTAATGGCTAACATAAAAATGTCTTAATTACAATTTAATTTGTACTTGCATTATAGTGATATTTTATAAGGTATAAGCAATTATAATTAAATATAGTCGATGTCACGTCTTCTTTTTAATCGACTTTGCCATTTTGTAAAATGATAAGCTTCATCGGGGGGCTATTTTAAAAATTTCTATTTTAATGTGTAAAACAGCAAATATTTATTTTAATATTTAGCCATTTTAGTTAAAGATGTATGACTTAACCATTGTGTGCTATTCCTATTCGGGAATATGACTAATGTTTTATATTTATAAAAGAACTTTTTATTTATAGTTATTTGAGTGTTTTAAATAAAAAAAAAATCAACAATTCAATGTTTTTTTTTATATATTTGTTTATGTTCACTAACTAAAAGTGAAAATTAAACGTATTCGTATTCGCTTTATTTAAATTATTTTAATCGAAAATTTCGTTTGATATAGTTTTCATAAGTAATTTATTTTCATTCGAGAATAGAATTCACTATGTATTCTTATAACATAATCTGTTTACGTATATATAAGTAAAACGGTAAAGATAATCAATGTGTACTCGCAGAATACAAATTGATCTGGCCCACTAAGGAGATATCTGGGAGCTAAAAAGGCTAAAATTGATTGTGTCGATTTGTTATCAATTACCGTTGTTGGCAGCGGCGACAGATAATCCGGGCGTAAATACTGATTGCTTGAAGTGAGCATCTTGCTCCACAATTCGTGATCCTTTTCCAGCTTAGACAATTGTACACACACTTAGTGTAAACACTTCACAATATCCGAGCATTCCATTCACAAACACTCACGAGCGCTGTACACGTGCGTAGCTAACAGCGGACGGCGTTCGACTGAGCCTGTCACGTCCCCCACCCTAGCACCTTGTCACTCGTCGCCGCGCCATTTTTGCATTTTGTGTACTTTGCGGGAGCTTTGCCGTCTTATCCCCACCGCTTGACACCCTGTCGCTTCCGTCTCGCTCACGCGAAAAATTACCGCTCCGCTTACCGTGCTCTGATGAAAGGTTTATAATATAAAATGCAGCCAAGAGCCGATGCGACAGAGATGCATAGGCTTGGAAATTGAATAGCGGAGTGAAGGAGCAAGTAATAATTTAGTTTTAACGTCACCACTGTGGGCGTTGTGACTTTTTATACGTGCGTCATTGTGTAAGTCTTGTTTAGATTTCCGTCTTTCGAGTTTTTATGTCTCATTTTGTGTACAATAACTTGGTGTAAGGTTTCATTTAACCAATATTAAGATTGACATCGTTTCATTTTTTTATTGGATTCGCTTAAATTTTATATATTACAAAAAACTTAACCCGAATGAAAAGTAGATACTTAAGAAGGCGAAAAAATTATTTTAAAATTATGTATATAAAAATATTAATCTTCGCAGTCTCCGCACAACAGTACGAGCCAAAACGTCAAAATCCCAATATTACTCATTTGCGAGGTGTATATAAAATTGTTTCGTTATTTTCCATCGCAACGGATACGTCTTTTTAAATATTTCCAGGTAATACCTATTTAATGATTACATATTTTTATTACGGCATTGTTGTGGACCACCCGGCGAGTTTATGAGTAGAATTTTGTGTTCGAATGCTGAAAAAAGCACTTACACAACGGATGTTATAGTCATGACAATTAGCATAATCTGTTAATACCTTTTTTGTTGTAAGTAAAACTTCTTTTGTTGTCTTTTTAACTTAATATTTAAAAAAAAGGCTGTTGATGATTACAATGCTAAGTATCTACAGATTATACTCATTTTCTTTAGTACAATAATAATAAAGAACATTTACGATAAGATTCAGAAATGATGTTTTGTTACCTATTTTGTAATAATAGGATTTTCTTATTAGGTACTTAAAAGGTCGTTTTTTAAAATATATTTTGCGTTCTCCATTATTTCTTTACTTATCTTTCAATACTAGAAATACGTAGCAGGAAAACATTAAAATGACCATCCAAAACAATATTGTTTTCCTCATTAAATAAACACATTTTCTTCATATATATGACATCACCGATTTTGAATTGAAATGCAATAATATCTGATTGCAATTTTCATTAAATATATATTCACAGGGCGATTCTGTAAAAATCTGAATCCAAATTCGAATTCACTCATGTTTTCTCACAAGAAATTCTATTGATTCCATTTTTTGCACAAAAATACAAAACAAAATTGATTAATTAAACGCAGGGCAGCCGTAAAAATCCAAATCCGAATCCGAATTTACTCATGTGCCCGAATTTTCTTCAAAAAGCGGCTTCCGCTCAATCTTGAATTGGTAATAACCTTTCGTGGAATAAGTGAAATGAGTTTCGACATTACATAAGAATAGAATATCTGAGCTACGTATAATCAATCAATTTTGTTTTGTATTTTTATTCAAAAATGGAATCAACAGAATTTCTCTAGAATTCAAATTCGGAAATTTTTAAAATACGTCCCTGCAGATTTAAAATAAAGTAACCCATAATATTGTGGAACCTTTCCATTTGAAATAGATATATTTGTATAATCATAAACTGACTTTTAATCAGTTAGATTATTTAAAATCAAGTATCTAATCGAACTGAGTATTCGATAGTAGTTACCTACTACATGGTACAACTCTACTAGAAACAAATATATAACTACCATGACTTTGATTTCTTTAGCTTCTGTCATATATGTTTAGAAGGTTTCAAGTTGCCTTGAAAATTAAGCACCAAAAGATTGATAACCACTCAAGTAATGACTGTGCAGTTCGGATAACCCTTGAGGGTGATGTCAGTGTAGACCATCTGATTTTGATATGTAATGATATTAAGACAAAGTTTAAATTTCTTCAAAGTGTTTGATTACAGGGTGGTCAGTGCTTCTAATAGGGAATGACGTTGCATTTTCATGTACAACTGAGCAACTGCGTAACTCCGGTAATAATGGGATGTAAGTGTAATAAGAATGGTTTGAGAATTTGTTCTTTTTTTTGTTTTCAATATATTTATTTATTCACGACGAAATTATTTTATAGAGTTTATGCGGATGAAATCGATCTCGTTGGATTATTGAATATCGTTGCTGGTGAATACTCAAATAAAGCATAAATTAGCTTTAGTGTAAACTATGAAATTGGGAAAACATGAATTATTAATAATTATTCATAAATTTTAGGAGATATAAAATTTAATATAGATATAATTCACTTGAAATATGAATAAATATGTACCAATTTGTGTCCGTTTTAAGAATCGAAAAATTATACATTAAAAGTAGTTATTAATAATGAGTAGTTTTTAATACGCCATCATTCCCCCCCTATCTGAGATATACTAATGTATGGGCTAATGCCCATTTATTACGTCTCGTTTTTAATTGTTTTAATGTACAGTTTTATCAATGAACCATCAATCTTTGACTATAACTATTGATTATAACCTGTTTTCTTATATTGTTGAGAAATTAGCACTGTCACTCGCATAAAGAAAACGGAACTGTTAAAATAGTTTCATTACTGTTCGCGTTTTCCACAATACGCATGTGTTCTGAGTGATATACATCCAACCATAAATTGTGAAACCACTTTTGAATTTTAATGACTCTTCTTTTCATCGCTCCTAACACTTAGAACATATAAGATTCGCAGTGACGTCATTTTGTGATAGGTATAACAAAGTTAAAACTGACTCACATTATACTACCGACTTCTCATCCTACTCACTTTCCGGTACGTCTTTACAATTCGTTACCTGAAGCTATAAGAAAGGCTAGCACTTTAGATTGTTTTGTTGGACAAGCGTAGACACACTTCCTTGAAATCTAGTAATATGTTTATACTGAACTAGCTTTAACACGCGCCTTTGCCCACGTGGTCCAAGGGTATTGTGTGCACAAAGACCTGTTATAATTGAGTCTTAAGCTAATTTTATTTGAAAATCTGCTAGTGAGCTTCAACTTTTATTATAAAGGTCGCTCACTGGCGATAGTCCACTAAGTATTTTTTTTTGCCCAATTTTAGTTGCTATTTTTAAACGACTTAAAAAAAGTACTAGGTTTTCAATACGACTGTACGATTCTTTCATGTGTTTGTTGGCGGAGTAATCGCCAATTATGAATCGATTGTCAAATTCTTTTTTATTCGACAGCTTAATGGACCGAGATGGTCCTATTTAAATTTGATCAATATTGAACCAGAAGTTTTCTTAGAACTAAACAAAATTTAATTTTCATCAGATATCACTTAAATGTAGTGTGATAGCGTACTTTGCATTCATTCAAAATCCGAAAGGAAGAATTTCTATGTGCAACGAGTATGTCTATTTTTTTTTATCGATTTTCTTCGTGGTTACGTCGTGCAAAAAAATTGAAATTTCAGGACTTTCTTTATATAAATATAAGTTACGAATGGTTAAGTAAATCAAAAAAGGTCATCACACATCACGAATATTTTATGATAAGAATTTTTTTTTTCATTTCCCACTTTACATGTATTCTACATGGACATAGGAGGGTTTTTTTTCAAGATTTTATTTTATCACTTTGTCGGCGTGATTAACGTATATACTCATACTAAACTACACCTTTCTTATAGCAATCGTTTTGAGTTTAGATTTATTTATGGTCTTCGTAAGCAGCTCATGTGGCTTCCCATTCGTCAGCGTCGAAATATCAGGATAGTCTGCCTTCTGTTTAACATCCTGTATATTCCCGTCTATCCTTCCTATCTGCGTGAGCGTTTCTCCTTTCTCGGTTCTCCTGATGGTCTTTGCAGAGCCCACCTTAAGTCCATTCTTCAAATTCCTTCACACAAATCAGATTTTGCTTCATATTCCTTCACTGTTCATGCTGCTAGATTCTGGAAATCTATCTGCCGATATTAGGTGACAGTCGCACTATTTCTGTGTTCAAAAAAAGAGTGAAAGATTATTATCTTTCCTATTGTTGATATTGGAGAGTGTAGGTATTGTTAGTCTTTATACATAATATGTTATTATTTATATAATGTTTGCATAACTATGTAAGTTTTTTTTTTTATTTTCTCTCTTTCCTGTATTTGTTTATATATTCCATATTAATTTTAATTAAGAGGTACACACTGACTTCCTTATTGTTCTTTTTCCTGTTGTGGGCCCGCTGGTAGACATTTCAATTTGGTATAAGCAGTGCCCTTGAATTAATGTTTGTTACATTTGTTCATGTGAAATTGTATGTGTGTACAAATAAATAAATAAATAGAGCTCTCAAAAAGTAAAATATTTTCCAGTTTTTGCACCATGTTTCATTGCTCTACTCTGCTCTACTCTTATTAGTTATAACATGATATTATATAGCTTATAGCCTTCCTCGATAAATGGACTATTCAACACAAACAAAAAAAATCATTTCGAACCAGTAACCAGTTATTATTAATATAGAAAAAAACATTTTTTTTATCTATTATGTTATTCAGATTTAACTATTTATTACTCCATCTTGCACGGGGTGTGCGTCTTCAGTTTTGTTTATTAATCTTTTGTTTATTATATATGTAGTTTATTTTTTCTTTTGTCATAGGTTGCCTGGAAGAGATTGCTACGTAGCAATAAGGCCGCCCTTTGTATTGTCTCTCTTTTTATAGCTTCCCTGTAATATGTGTTGTGTATCGTACAATAAAGAATATATTATTATTGAGAATGAAGACTATTGACGCTATACTGATATTGCTATAGATATATCTAGGTGTTCCTACTGTTTTACTGTTGATCTTGAGTTAGTACATCGTATTCTAATTAAAACAACAATGTTGCATGTAGGTGTGCCTCAATTACGTTTCATTTATGTTCCAAGATATGTTGTTAAATGCTTCTCACCTACCGGTAAGAAGCTTTTTGTACAAAGTGCGTTTTCCATCAGAA